TTCAACTGGATAAGTTCAGTATGGGACAGATCTGGTTTTACTTCTGACATCCCTGTGATTTGTCTTTGGCCTGCTTCATCAACTAATGCATTCCCAATGCTTTTGTATGGACACTTCCTGTGGCTCAATATTTTTACACTTACTGATGATGGATCTCTTGGCTGTCATTTTTGATTGTCTAGTTACATATCTTTAGTTGATATCCAACAGATTGATTAGTATCAGTGCTGGAATCCTGCCTGAAATGAGTGTTTACCTCTGAGGACATTTTAGTAAGTGAAAGCTGCACCTGTTTTGCTCAGCGCTGTGTACTGAGATATCAAATGAAGAGAAATCTTTCACGTTCCAGAATTTGCCTCTTCACTACTTGTAATTTATGAATCTTTGTCTGGTGAGCTTAATTAAACTGTGTATATTGCAGAAATCCAGTTAATTTTACTGTAATCTTTTTAAGTTCATTAAGTCCTGATCCTCTGAGGTGCTAAGGCTTGTGCTTGCTGCAGAATAGTCTCAGCTGTATGGGAGTTTACCGTACTTAGGCATCTCACAGGATCGAATGAGTGTAAAGCCTCCTGAAATTGATAGGTACTTTTCAGCTGTCTTCAATGTTGTTTTTTTTTAATTAAGCTCTTAATAAGCTAAATTATATAAAATTATGTGGCTTATGGTCTTCTGTATTATCAGTTTCACTTATTTAAAGTTATAATTCTGGAATTTTACTAGGATTATTACATTAAAGTCTATTGATAAACAGTTGTTTAATTACACACTGATACTTGAAAAGACAGAATATATCCAGTTCCCAAGTCACATAATAGCCTCATAGTACGTCTGAAAGGGTTCTGGTTATATATACATCTTAAAACTGTGTTGTTTTATATAAAGGTGATATAAACGAAACACTCTTGAATGTTACACTTACTCCGTAAGTGTAATGTTGCCCGTTTACTCTGGTCATTCTAATGTATGTTTGCTTTTGTTTTTCTTGTCGCACTTGTGGGCAATGGTTTCAGACTGTATCTTTAACAACTTGTACAGTGTATTGCTGGTGATTTATTTTCCTTCATGTGTTAAGAGATAGAGCAAGCCTTTCAGAGCTGGCAGGCTGTTGTAAGGGGCTATATATGTAGTCTGCATGCCTGCCAATTGCTATGATCATAAAACTGGGAGGAAGCCTTCACTCATCTTACCATATGGATTACGCCTGGGAAGTGGGCAAGTAAAATCAATATTATCTTAATGCCAAATCAAGCTCGTTTCACAGTAGTGAGTGGAATATGTTACCTTGATCAGGGGTAAGTTATAAACAGATTACAGGGTCATGCAGTTATTTTGATACCTGCTCAGTTCTGAAGCTTCACTTCCACAATTTGTCTGCACTGCTACGGTGGATACCAGGATGGCACTTTTACTGTCTTTCATCATATTCGCATCCCAGCCAGTTCTCTGGTGCTTTGTTTGTGCGTCTTCATACTCCAAAGGAATTCTGTGTGATGAAGTTAGATTGATCAGATCAAAGAAAAAAATTTAGGAAGCTGACAGAAAGGACATTTTGAATGGTCTGAAGTGTTTGTAATGGCTCGATGAAATGGCAGAATTTTCTGTAAAAGGAATAAAGTGGTTTCTGCTGTTTCTTTTGTTAAATATTACTTGAAGTTTTAGTGTCTTCAGCCTCAGAGAGGAGCTAAGGCCTTACAACTCTAAGTTGATTTAAGTTTTACTGTCTGTAGTATGTTAGAGCTGTTTTCTTGCTTTCTTAATTCTCTGAAGTAGAAACATTACATCTTGTGCAGTGTGTTGGTTATCTGAATTTTTTATTGTGGGAAAATGCCTTGTGCATTATGTCATTTGTGTATGTACAGGATCTAAGGTTTTTAAGGCATACGAAATATGTTCAATATCAGTGCTTTTAGCAGAGTTGATGAGTCACATAGTTCTCATTATACCTGCAGACTTGTAATGCTTCCTTTGCCACTCGTGACCGACTGCGCTCACACCTAGCATGTCATGAAGACAAAGTTCCATGCCAGGTGTGTGGGAAGTACTTGAGAGCAGCATATATGGCAGATCATTTGAAGAAACATAGTGAAGGACCAAGCAATTTCTGCACTATCTGTAACCGAGGTAATGAAGAAACTGTTATTTTATTTCAGTGGGATGGGACAGCGCTTGAGGGAAGCTGTAAGGCTGCATGAGTCTGCCTGCGGCAGGAGGAGGTTATGCCATAGATGTGTACATAGTCTCTGTTTTTCTTATTGAATAGTTAACCTTGAAACTGATGGAGCTATAGGCCTGGCCTCTGGCCTTTTTACATGGCTGATAGTTCCTGAAGAAATTCAGTTGAAATCTGAAGCAAATTGTTTCTGGACAGTTTTAAGAGTTTTATTTGCTAAATACAATAACCACGATATGTTGCCTTGCTGCTATTCACCATACACATTCTTTTTCCTACACCCGTCTAGACTTGAGTCCTTGTAATGAGTTAGGAAGAAGAATCTGTAAAATACACACCAATACACTGTACATTAAAAAAAATCTGTATTATCAGTCTTGCTTAACCTCCTGGTGCAGCAGTAGAGTCAAGCTGCTTATCCCTCTTAACCCAAGAAATTGCTTTGTATTAGTGTACATTTCTAAAGCAAATTTTGTAAAGAGCACTGGGTACGTGCTTTACCTTTGTTTGTACATATACAGCTTTTCATAGAATGTCTCAAGTTGGAAGGGACCATAAATATCATCGAGTCCAACTCCCTGCTCGACTAAACCATATGGCTAAGAGCTTTTGAAGCTTTTCTGTCTGTTTGTGGTACTCTTCAATTGGAGAGAGTTGTAAATTTAGGCTTTGTGGTGTGGGCTGTGAGGCAAGCTGGAAAAAGAATTTTGACTCATTATTGTCTTTTTTTTTTTTTTTTTTAATGATTAATACACAACTTCAAAATACATCGTTGGCTCACACAGGCATACATACCTAGTAGGAAGAGGCTGCTGTTGTATTTTGGGATCTTGTTTTTTCTGATGAGTCCTTTATTTATGATGTGTGTTCCCTTTTCTAATTTAAGAGAAGTGAAATCTTTTGAGAGAATAAAGCTGTTCTGTATTTAATGTGGGAACTGTACAGGGAGCTTTTGGATGACTAGGAGTCAGTTGATGAGTAATGAGAGACAGTAAATTGCAAGAGAGGCATTTCCAATAGTTTAACAGTGTTTTAGGTCCTGAAAGTGTTGTTGAGTGGCAAAGGCACCTTGATTAAGAATCTTCAGATTCGGAAGGTCCGGATAGCTGGTATGAAATGAAGCTTGGCTTCCTTTCCAGCTGAAGGTGTATCTTCTGAAAAACTGCTTAAGCTTATCCTGATTCTTTTTGTGGTAAGAACATGGAAAAGATCCAGGTGCTATCCTGCTCTCCTTTAGTTGAACATGGTGCTAAACAGAAACACAGACGGGTTGGGAGGAATTGTTTCCAAGATTTTTGGGATTGAGTTTCAACTGAACTACCACTGGATGTCACTGCAGCTCTTTTGAAATTCAGCCAGAATGACAAAAGACAGCTCTGGCATTCAAACAATGAAATGACTAAATGGTTTATTCACATTTTACAGGTTTAAATGTACAGTGGAGATATAAAGAGAATGTACACTTCTGTGTAGAAGGATAGGGGATCTGTTGTACAGCAAACTTGCAGCATCTACTTTTTTTCTTACGGTCTATGTGTCTTGTCAGAATCTAGTCTGCTGTGAATTTCAGTTTACAGCAGCACTCAGAAAATCTAATTAATATGGTGAATTATTGTTAAAATATCTACGTGTTAAAATTCATAGGAAAAGGAAGATACAGACTGGGTTTGTCAAACAACTATGTTGTGAACTCATTGGTTTATGCTGTGAAGTTTGATTATAGATTTGTGATCTAGAAAAGGACAATTTTTAATCCAAAGTGTTCTAGAATCAAATGATAATGTTGATTGTTTTAAATAGGTACCTTTCAAATTGTAGAGCCTGGCAAGATGAAGTGTAATGGAAAATTTCTCAGGTAGAAGCATCTATCTGATAGGTATTTGTGCAGTCAGAAGGTAGTCGCTGTACCCCCACTGCAGTTGTGCCGTGACTGTGGTGCTTGTGCAATAGAATTTTGTTTGAGCCTTCTCTCAGCTAACATGCTGGTGTATTTTGTATTATTTGGAACTTAGCTAGTTCTGGATGTAGTATTGTCAAGCAAGATGCTCAAGCTGCTGGCAGAGAGAATTTTGGATGTTGGCCCACAAAAAAACCCGAAAAAGTGGATGAAAAGGTGATTCTTACCCAGATTAACATACCCTGGTGTTAAAGACAGAGCTTAGAACCCCCACAGTAACAGTATATCCCACCAGAAGACTTAAGGCTTTTCGTAATCAAGTGTCTCATGTTCCTTTAAAGGTTTAGTGGATTTTGGAGATGGAGAGCTCAGTACATGGCTGACAGCAGTAGCCACTGGTTTGTCACGTCATGTGTGTCCCCATTTGCTGATTCCAATTATTCATTTCTTTTACAAAATGGCAGTATAATACCCAAAAATCACCATCGTGATTTGATGCTTTTTCCAGGTTATTTTCTCACGTAGGTTCTTTATGCTTAGAATAATTATGGAAGCAATTAAATCCTGTTAAATCGGGGAAGCTGGGCAATGTTGTTGGTTGGTCTGGCTGGTTTTAGTTTTGGTTTTGTTCTGTTGGGATTTTTTCCCCTGGGATTTTCTGTTGGGTTTGTTGGGGTTTTCTTTTAAGAATTCATCTGAAATGTGCTTACGAAAACTAATCCCCAATCCTTACTTTTTAAGATGAATTCTCTTTAATCAGTTGAAATAAAAAAGATCTGCTCCTGCTTTGTTGTTACATAATCTTCTATAACCATTCTTAGGAACTGTATTTGCTGTGTGGGCTTTTTCAAAGAGCTTCAGAGATGAATGACTTTGGCAAGTCTAGAGCTGGTACTTCATAATCACAGGTGCAACTCCGGAGATTCCTTTTCTGTTTTTCTCCTGACACACAAACATTATTTGTTTCACAGAAATGACTTAGGAGAAGGGTAAATATTCCAATCACAAGTTAGATGGAATTCTTGTTTACAGTAAGATGAATTCTTGTGTATTTCCTGGTGGATACAGAGTTGATTAAAGTGAGATATATTCTGCACATGTTCCAGCTAAATCCAAATTGGAATTTTTGAAAAAGGAGCATCCTGCAGTTATTTCTATAGTCTATCTTCTTATAGATGTATCTAAGAGATCAAGGGATAGGTTCCATTTATATAAAGCAAATAATTTCTTCTCTCTGCATGTTTTTAATGTTGGTTCCTCTGGTATGAAGAAATAATCTGCTCTGCAAAGCTGAGAGATGTGCATGGGTAAAACAATACATACATTCCTTCTGTGAAAATCACTGCCACTTGATTCTCTGCATTAGTCTGACTTTGTTTTTAAAGAGCTTTTATAAAGTAAAGGATTATTATCTCTGAATTCCCGTCCTCCCAGGATAGGCATTCATAATTAAGGTTGGGGGGGTGGGGTGGGGGGAGGAAGGCCAGTGCTAAGTGCTTCAGAAAAAAAGACAGGATAAAAACAGAACAAAAAAATCTCACTTTAAAGTTTCCTGTTGGCATTCTTACTGCTTTGATGGAAGTTGATGACTCGCATGTTCATCTGCCAAGTGCATAAAGGGGAGCAAACACACTTTGCAGGCAGTTTTCATTATAGAAAACAATGTGCTCTACAAATAGTTCTGAGTTCAGAAAAAATACCACATAGCAGAGATTACAACTTCAGATTTTTCTGTGGCAATTGTAGTATAGAAGAACACTGAATAGCTTATGTAGTCCTTTTTTAACGGTTGGCAGTAGGATTTTAATGCATTGCTATGTAGAGGCTCATCTCAGCATGCATGTGGTTATTAGACACGTCTGAAATAAGGGGAGTACGTGGTAGTTGGAAGTATCACCATTATATCTCTATATTGTGTCCTGTTCTCTATATGTGGCCAAACACTGGTTCTTTCCATCTCCACAGTGAATTTTTGGTATTTGGAAAAATACATTCTTTTGTGGGCCAGGGAGATTTTCAGTACAGCATTTTGTGTCTGAGGATAGGTCTTGCATTATCTCAGAGGATAATACCCTTACATTGATTCCCTGGATGACACGTGGCCAAAGTGATTCTGCTGTATTGTATTTTGAGTCGTATGTTCTTGGTTTCTTCAGTTGCGATGTATCTGCTATTCTGTGCATTTATCTTCAACTCAGGAGTCTACAGTAACTCTTGCTCATTCTCAGTAGTCTGCCCTTTTACCCTTCAGCAGGTTGCTGTGGAGTTCTGTCTTGCTCTGCAGGTCCTGCATAAATAGTTCTTAATAACCCCTGAACACTCTTTGATCCTGGCTTCTAAGAAAAGTCTGGTAGAGGGATATTCTGTTGGGTTGGCATAGGGAATTCTAGTGTAAAGCCACATTCATTGTTAAGTTCACCTAACAGCTGCTATCAGAAAATCCACCACAGAGAGCTGTGCCAGTATTGGTTCTGCATCCTTCCTAAGATGTTCTTATATAGCATCAAACATAAATGCAGTAATATCAGTAGAAAAAGTAGCTTTACAGTAGTATATCTATCTGTATTTAAAATGAAGCATTGGTGTGAAGCTTTTCTTGCAAGGGTTTGTGCTGTAAATGCTGTATTCATTTAAAAATATCTAGGTCCTGGGCTTCCTCTGTCTGGAAAGGAATAGAGAAATCTGAAACTCTGTCTGTCATGGTGAAGCTTGTGTTCTGAGGTGTTAAATAAAAATGCTTCTAACGTGAAAGTACCATAATATTCCGTTCAAAACGTAACAGAAAATTAAGGCGGCTGTTGATAGGTGTACCCTGTGTAGGAAGTCTTTGTGCTTCATATATATACTCCAAATGCATGAGTACTAACTGCAGATCTTATAAAAATTTAATTTTAAACCATCCCAAAATATATTTGAGATAATGTATTGCATGAAAGGAAAAGGTTGCATTTGTGAGACTTCTAAAACAATTTAGAAAAGCACATGCACAAATGTAAAACACTGTTTCGTTCAGAAATCAGTTGTTTGAAATCTACAGTTTTAAGTTCAGTGGTTTGGCCTTACAGAGCAGAACCAGTAGAAATACTGACATTTCAGTTTAGTTTTATTGGGGCTTTTTAACTGCAGACAAAATATGAGTTTTATTGTTTTTTGAAATTCAGGATGAGCTGAAGAGTGAAAATGTTTTCGAAAATTGCTGTAGAACAAAATTGTATACCTTAAAACCTCAGTAGTTTCAGCTTTCTGCCTTCTAGGGTTCACTATACACATAAGGGGAAAGCATGCTGAATACCAAAGAGGGGTGTTACTAAATTGCATCCCTTCAAATATGAACAGCATAGAATAAACTAATTTGAACTATCTTCCAAAGTATTATGAACATCTATTTAATTAAAATAAAGCAGCACAAAATTGGTTAAGGGACATGGGTGCCTTTTTGTATCATGTCTCCCCTGCCTTTGTTTTTCCAGAGAGTTTCATGTTATTTGCTAGGTTTGCTTACATTGGGTTTGTTCTCAAGGAGGCTGTTCTTTCATCATGACTTCAAACAGCAAATGAAGTCTAATGAAATGTATTCATTGCCTGATTATGTCTAGAAATCCTACTTGAGCATATTATAGGTAACCAGAAATCAAGTTAGTATAATGGCAACTTTGTAATAGGGACTAGAAGCAAGACAAAGATTAAAAGAATGGGGAAGGCAGATGTGTGTCTTTGCTGGTGGCAGGATCTCATCTCCTTTTATCTTGTTTAGGTTTCTCCTCTGCCTCCTACTTAAAGGTCCATGTTAAAACCCACCACGGTGTTCCCCTTCCCCAGGTCTCCAGGCACCAGGAGTCCATCCCGAATGGGGGAGCAGCGTTCCACTGCGTCAGGACCTATGGCATCAAAGGCAAGAGACTTGCTGCTCTGCACCTTGCTGCTCTGTGCAGAACTTTGTGTTGTGGGTTGCTGGGCTGGGTGTGAGAAAGGGGAGGGAGGAAAGACAGTGGAAACACTGGAGAGAAGTTTAGGGAAATGCAGAGAAATTGCAGAGCATCACATAGTATTTAGTACCTGTCCTTGGATAGCTGATTTCACAAGTCTGGGGGAAGGAGATGGACATGTAAGGGTACATGAATTTTTGGCAGCTTCTTTGATTTTAGAGATTGAAAAAGCCAGGTTAGTTCATCTTGACCATCTTCCTAGGAGCAGTCAGTATTTGAATGTTGCCTGAGGGGTGCAGATCCTTAGTACCATTATGCTTGAGTCTCATGTCAGTCTAACCACATATCTAACCCCTGGTGAAGGAAGGGGGACCTGCAGAATGCAGTTCATAGAGATTCTTGAGAGGTGGAAGCAGTCCACATTCTCAGTTTGATGAGGAGCCGTGCAACTACCTGTACACTTACCAATGCTGTTGTTGGGGAGGACAGGTAGAAGGGTGATAGCGCTGTTGCTTTTTTTGTTTGTTTAACCTGGTTTTAGCTTCTAGAAAAAAAAAAATTGTAGGAATAGCTGAAGAGTATTTAACTTCTGAATACGCGAAGCTGTGAAATTTCTGTAGAATAGCTTGCTTTCTGCTTCTTGGTTTGAGCTGTCAGTATTCCTGGGGAAGCTGAAGCATCAGAAAATTCTTCAAAATCATGGTTGTCCAAAAAAGTTGGGTTTTTTTTTTTTTTGCCCAGGGGAACACAGCAGGCTGGGTTAAACAAAGTCTGTGCCAGCAGAAAGCTAGTTGTGTGATTTTTCTTTCTGTTTAAGTCCTGACAGAGTTACTACAGAAGCCCTTTGGGTTTGGGTGGTGCGCTGACTTAACAAGAGATTTACTTCAGCTCAGTGGTGTATTGATTTCATGCATATCCTGTTTGGTTTGTAATGCTGAGTCCAGAGCAAATCTGTCTTTTGGGTTGTGCCAAGTGGTTCTTTGGTCTTTTAGAGTTAATAGTAGCTCCAGCTTATTTGTATTCAGAGACTTGTTGAGGAGTATGTCTGGGTTTCCCACGCTCATTCACATGCGCTGAGCAAAAAGTGTGGACAAACTTTCTTGGCATAATGTGAGAGGAGAATGGGGAGCACTCCAAACATACCAATGGCTTTGCCAGGATATGTATCCAAATGACTTAAAATAGTGTCTCTGACCTCCCTCCTGTTTCACACTACAGTATTTTAAGATGGAACCATTTTAGATTATGAAGTTCACTTCTAACAGCATTGCACTTGGTTTGTAAAAACAAAAAAGTTCCTCAAGACTAAGTGGAATTTCATGCCTTAAATTGCAGTAGCTCACTGCTGTTTTGCTGAGTGTTTCCAGGTTTCTTCACATCTTGCTGCAGCCTGTTCTTCATTAGGTTTCTAGGCTCTCCACCAAAGTAACAACAATATTTCAGAAGTGTAGGAGTGAATTGTAGAGTTAAAAATTCGTCATTAGGTCCATCCTTTTGTAGTGCCTGAGGTATAAATATTGTGAGACATCTTTGGGATTCAAAAAAGTGTTCTATAAATCAGAGTCCCATTATGGTGCCATTCAATATCATGGAAAGTCCACACTAAAAACCTGGATGTTGCTCTGATAGCAGCTATGGTTTGTAAAGACCTGTGGTCAAGGGCTCTTGAATATGAGAGATTGTGATGTTAAGTGTGTATTATTCTGTCATGACAGGCATTAATGAAATCAGGTTGTAACCAATATTATCTATTTTAATGCATGTTAAATACTTCTTTTGGGAGATAAGATTCTGAAAACTTCTCTTTTCTTTTTCCCATAGAAGGCCAGAAATGTTCACATTCGGACCCGATTGAGAGTTCTGATTCATACGGAGACCTTTCTGACACCAGTGACCTCAAGACTCCTGAGAAACAGAGCACCAATGGGTCCTTCTCGTGTGACATGGCAGTCAGCAAAAACAAAATGGAGACGGAAGGAGAGAAGAAGTACCCTTGCCCTGAGTGTGGCAGCTTTTTCAGATCAAAGTCTTATCTGAACAAACACATACAGAAAGTTCACGTCAGGGCCCTTGGTGGCCCACTGGGGGACCTTGGTCCTGCTCTAGGATCCCCCTTTTCACCCCAACAGAACATGTCTCTCCTGGAGTCATTTGGGTTTCAGATCGTCCAGTCAGCATTTGCATCGTCCCTAGTGGATCCAGAGGTCGACCAGCAGCCAATGGGGCCAGAGGGGAAATGAGATCAGTTTGATCTTAAAGCAAAGCAGCAGTCTGGCTATAATGATAAGATGCTGTGAATGAAAGAGGAAATAATGAAATTTGGTTCTATAGCTGAGAATTTTTTATTCATTTTAGCTTCCCCTTTTATCTCATGTCCTACCCCACCTTTAAACCTTCACTGGGGAGAGGAAGAAAATGCTTCTTAGCTGATAAAATACAGAAGATGGTGACCTTGAACAGAAGACATGACCTAAAACACCAAATGGAGCTTTAGAGGCTGCTGCTGGTGTTTAGTTTGTGATCTCCTAGAATAAATGTTACCAGCACTGATCTGAGAATTAGACAGTTCTAGTGACCGAGGCACCTGGGGAGCTACAGCTACAGGGAGCTATGCTTTTGTTCTCTCTCTATTCCCCACCTTCCCTAACCTACCCCAGAAAAACAGTAAGTTTTACAACCAGACCCATTATTGCCCCATTATTGACTATAACAGTAAGTAAAATGCCCCATGGTACCTACCAGGGTACAATGCAGTTGTCCTTTTAAAAAAAAGAAAATCTTAAAGAAGGTGCAAGAATTTGAACCCCTTCTGCCGTTTGTGAGGCTGTGAGTGCTGTAGCAGAACTGAACTGCTGAGAAAAATCACCATTCAGAACAGATTGTTTTTGTTACTTTTGACCATTAAACTTGCTGTCAGTTTTTTAATTCTCTATTATTATTATTATTATTTTAGGACCTGTTGTAGTGAATTGCTACTGAAAAGCCAGTCCAAGGCGATACACAGAGCACTCTTAAAGCAGCAGTCACATTAGGGTTAGTATTAATTTTTTTTTTAGATGTACCATAATTAATAACTTGGCTAGTTGGTTGTTTTAAGTCTTTGAGAGAAATAGTTTTATGGAGAAAAAAAAAAAAAAAAAGGAAAAATACCATTGCAGTCTGGTTGACTGGTGCTCATTTTTCATCTGGGGACCTAGGGTATAAACACGATGAGCTATCGGGTTAACACTATGTACCACTGACTTGTTTAGTGCAAATAAACCCAGGGGTTCACAGAGTGATTTTGGTTTAATTGGATTGGACTCTATTAAAGAAGTTAGTATGTTACTTTGCATCCCCTCGTTTTGTCTGGTTTTTGAGCAGTTTAGCCACCTGTCCAAAAGGTGTGCAAATGAGAGCCAGTAAATAAGACATTAATCCCACTCCGCACTGTACTGTATTCTCAGTGAGCTGGGCTTTTTGCGTACACTCGTGCTCTCCTGATCTGCCTCTAGTCAGATTTGGAAAAGCCAGTCTTAATCCCTTCTTTTCCAAATAAGAAGGGTTTCTACTGAAAGAGATGGGAATTGCAAACAGCAATTGCAAAAAGAATTGATTACAAAATGCAAAGAAGCTGGGCTCTAGGCTGTTGGAGGTTCCATTTAATCTGAAAATACCACTTGTGCAGAAATAATGTCTTTTCTTGACCCTCCCTTTCCTCCCATGTAACTTGTCAAGGTTTTATGTACCAAATCCAGGTATAAATGTTGTTTAACACAGGGTTAGGAGTTAGGAATACTCTGAGTTATAATTATGGTTCTGCTGTTGATGCTCAAGGTCACATAGGAAAGCTCCCTGAATTTTTAAATTTCCCATCTGTGAAGAGTTTTCTCTACATCACAATTGTGAGGGTTAATAAGCGAAGGTTTAAGCAGTGATTTGGTCTAGAAAGGCCACTCTGAAAAGCCGAAGTCCCTTACCAGCCATGCGTTCTATAAAGCAATAGCTTTCTCCATCATTAATACAGTGCTGGAACAGGGTAGGCCACCTCAGACCAGGACCTACATCCTCTGCAGGTGATACATCTATATTAAATGTGAATATAGCCACAAACTGCTGTTGCCCCACAACTTGGATTGCCCAGGTGCTCCTAATCCAAACCCTGCAGCTAATGCATAACTGAAATAAGATACATTCCTGATTTTTTTAAATGTTGGAATTATAGACCCTTTTGTATAAGTGTATGGATTTTGAAATGATGTTCTAAGTTCTGCAGATTTAGAAGCCCTAGCTTCTCTTTTTTAAAAAGCTGCATTTTTTGTACTTGCTCTTGAGTGTTACAAACCAAGGATTAATAATCAATGGCTTTCTCTTTATAGCACCAGCACTTTCTAAATTGAGAGCATGTTGCAGCGGACTTGAGGTTTTGCTATTAATCTGTGTTGGGAGACTGAAGGACATGTTCCTCTCCATTTATCTTCTCCCAGAATCCCTGGAATAGGTATGAGTCTTATTTGAAGGGAAAAAAAACAAAAATAAAACCGAACTAACCCACCTTAAAACTAAAGCTTCATGGAATTGCTATTGCTGTACTGGTAAGCTTAGGTGGCAAGTAGAAAATGGACATTTCATAAAGGTAACAAAACATTTTCAAATACCTTATTCTAATGTAGACCATACTGAGACAACCTTGTGAACTGCCAAGCAAGTGGAGATAGAGCAGGCTTTCCAGTCAGCATAACAATTCGTTGGGATTAGCAAATGCAACTGCAGCCACTCTTAGTAATAGCTTGTGTTTAAGCCACCAGGAAAATTTCTGTTGAACTGAGATTGTATTCTGAAATATTTAAGGAGTTTGTGTTCCTGTTTGTACTCAAAGAGGGTGCAGTAGTCATAAAATTAAACTCCAAAAGCCAAGTCCAGAATATAAGGTATTTTCATCCTACATAGAGCTCCACTGACTCCGTTGTTACTAGTGGGATGAATTTAGCCACGTGTATCAGAATTTAATTTTGAATGCTACAGAATTTGACCTGATGAAACAAATGAAAAGCCTTGAACTAAATAGGAAGCCTTGTAAAACACTAACTGTGCATTTTGCTTGTCAGAGAAAATGCTTACTAAGTTGTCATGAATCCATCAATTGAAAGCTACTTACTTCTCAGTCTAGTGGACAGGGAAACAATTGGGCAGGAAGTGAACAATCCTGAAGTGACAGTTCTAGATCATCCTAGTGTAAACGGGAGGGATTTGCACCAACACAAGAGACTGATGCAGACCAGTGCCAGCAGTAGTTTCGGCAGATGTTTAGCAGTGGTGTGTTTTCAGAGTTTTTTTCTGCTTTGGGGGGCTTATTGCTCCATTCTGGTTAGTAATTTAATCTACATGCAAATTCTTTATACTGTGTGCTTTGGGAAATGCCTGCTTCTCAGAGAACAGAAGACAGATCTAAACAGAAACTCATCTTCAGAAGTTCAGAGTTCAAATGGAAGTACTTAACATGCCCTGAGCTGTAACCTCACTTGTTTATGTTACATTTTTAATTGGATTATCAATGTACAGATGATAGTTCTCATTTTGGGCCAGCTCTCCTTTTCTTATCATCATCTTTGGTGGGACTGCAGTCCAATGTTGGGGTCAGTGCACTTTTCTGCCAAGAAGGGAACTTCAGTTCATACAAATTTAGATCATCAGAGTTGTAGTATTTCTTTGTATTATAGGAGTCCCTAAACCCCTCAACTAAGGATTAGACCCTTGTGTATTAGGTATGATGAAAACATCTTCAGCCATTTATAATCTAAACATTAAAGGTAGACAAGAGAAGAGTAGATGCTTATAGGTGAATGAGTGAAATAAAACTGAAGGACTAAAAACCGCTTGCATGCATGCTTAAGTGTTGTGTTGAATGTAGGGACACCGACTTATCATTGGGCTTCTTTTGTTGCCTGATTTTATCTTTATGTACTGTTAATCAACAACAAATGCAAGGTAAAGTGATTTAATGTGAATTTATTCCATACTGAGTTAAATGACCTTGCATTTGTCATGTGTTAAATGTGTGCAAACAGACTTCCTAGTGTGGCTCACCTGATGCATGATAATGTGGTGCGTGTGAGCTCTCAATGTGAAGTGATTTGCCCATGATGATGTGGGAAATTGATAGCAGAACCAGAAATTGAACACAGATTTTTCCTTCTCTCAATCCAGTGCCTTAACTATAGTAGGGCAAAGTATTATATGTTAGGGGTGTGCGTGATTGATTTGTTTGGGTTTTAAAGCCTAGAAGTCTAAGATGGTGTGGAGTTGGTCTTCCTACCAATCTTTTGGATAATTGCAAATGCCCAGTCACAATTTTAGACCTGTTTGAGTGCCAGTGACTTAGGGAATATTTGTTATTTCCCATGTATTCCCTGAAGTTATTGTTCCTCCCTCAACTGCTGTCAGCAGTAAGGAATGACTTGAATAGAAGAGCTGTGTAACTGAATGTCTATCTAATTCAACTAACTAAATCGATAGTATGAAAGCTAACCTAGATTTTGTAGGCTCTGTTGTAACTTTAGTGTCTTGTTTTTTCACTAAATCTTTGTTCCTAGAAATCAATATCTGAACTTATGTCTTGAGTCTGGAGTGGGGTACCACTTTCAGCTTTAATTTTTTTTAAGGTGCTTGCTTGAGGAAGTAGATGCCAAAGTAAATTTCAAAGGAATTCCAGTCTTCAGTGTTGGAAGAATGAATGGAGAGCAAGAGCTCTCTTTGGGTTTCATGAGAGATAAATGGACAAAGTAAAAAAAACAGCTACCAAAATTTTCAATAATGAAACGGGAAAGGCTTTTCTTTATCACCACAAAAATAACCAGATATTTTCAATTGTTCAGCATGGCAGAAACTCTGAGAGCAAGTGCCAAACAAAACCATGGAATGTGTTGGCTTTTTCAGCATTATGAACATACCTTAACAGCATTATGAATTTTTTAATGTATATTAAGCCAGCTTTGTACCATTCACCTTTTGCCTGGGCACAGTATCTGAGTTTTAATTGAACAGAACATAAGCTCACAATGAATCTCCGAGGTTATGCTCTCAGTCCAACCCCGAGAGACAAAACAAATGAGCAAAGAGGAAAAAAAATCCAATAGGAAAATTTAAAAGGGAAAACAGTTTCTGGAAGATTCCCATGTCTCCTGAGAGAGTCCCATTTTTTTATCCTGAACATCCTTTTCAAAACAAGATCCTTCAGCTGTTGTGAATGAGCCTTTTGGAACAGACTTGGCTTTCAGCCCAAACTGCTGCTCCTTGTCCCTGTCAGAAGGCAGCATGTTCTGGAGCACTGAGCCTGGGACCCGGAGGGAGGCAGTGCTCTCTGACACCACATTTACTGTGGCAGAGTCAGCAGCAAAAACATTGGCATAATGTCTTCCTGCCTGCTTCCGTGCCACCTTCACTCTTCACATATTCCCGTGCCAGTGTGGTACCTATTCAGACGTGTACAGCTCTGCAAAAACCTGTGTTAGCTGAAAAACAAAGCAGAGAACTTTGCCTAAAAAAGGGGGAAAAAACCCAAACCACCAACCTTAAAAATAGTTAAATGATGTAACTGCCAAGTGGTGCAGAACAGGAGCAGGAACCCTCGCTGTAAGGGGTTGTGGTGATAGCTGGAATGTTTAAAGCATGTTAGTGAAAAACCACAGTTGTTTGCTCTGTGGTAGCGGTAACACAGCCTGTTTGTAAAGAATTAACACCTTGTGTCATCTCTAGCCTCTTCCTGTGTTTTGTTCCCATCTATAAAATGAGATGATGATAACCCTTGGGTAAGACTGTTTCAAAGCTTGATTGATGTGCCAAACTGTGCTACACAGTTGTGCTATGAGCGTTTGGCCTCACTGACTTCCAGGGTAATGCAAAGTTGAACAAACATTTGGCCACATTTTT